ACATCTGAGCACTTTCACTACAGTTTTGTTAATCACTTATAAGTTCATGCACAAGTTTAATTATAATAGTTTGGACTGTACGGAGACTGAGAACAAATTTGTGTCTTATACATTACCTTTCAGTGGTGTTACAACTCTTTCGAATTATTTTGGGGGGTTGTTTTATTTTGATCTTTTCAAATTCATTTATTCTTTACTGTCATTAATTAATGATATACTGTACAGTATACCAGACCTTTATTGTAAATACTTGCCAACTAACTTTTGTTATACAAAGCTAAAGATACATGGCCCAAGACAACTAAACAGCTGGAAACAACTTAAAATGATTATTTGTAGTTCCATAGCTGGTAACAAATTCTTTTGTTTGATCTTTTTTAAATCAAATCCATGCTGTGCCACTACCAATCAGAACATAATGAAGATTCTGCTTCATGTCTATAATATCTGCGTCATTGCTGTAATATCAAATGTCTTTTACATGTTCATACTTTCACCTCTTTAATGTAATTTTGTCAATATTTTAATAAAACACTTATTTTAAAGATTGCAATTTGCAGCTGTTGCACAATCTCTGGCTTTTCATTTGTTTCTTTCTTTGAAACTCAAAAATCTAATAGCTATAAAATGGTTGTAATTAACTAAATGCTTGCTTAGTAACCTTAAAGCATGTAAAATATCCACCCTCAAACTAAAAGCTTAAACTCATTTGATTGATCCACATTGTACTCTGTCAGAGTAAATGCAACACGGGTTGAATAAACAACACTTCACAGATTCAGGGCATACCATATAATTGAACAAGATGCTATATCCTAGCTTATTTGTTATTAAATTTATGAGAGAGAGAGTTTAAATGTCTTGCTACACAGCTATCAATAAAGGATTGTCCTAGCAATTCTAGTGCTATTTGATAAAGATAACCTCTAAGGTGACCATTTCAGACCTTATACTGTAAATACAGTATATTAGGACCTTTTTCATGAAGTCTCAGTTGTATATACTGTAGGTCAATACATACAGTAGATTGTATAGGTTTAATCAAAGCATAAAGATAGTGTTATTTACCTAGTACATTTTCCTTCCCATCATCAGCCCTATCACACTGAAAGATTTTTGTCTAAAAACCACCCGTTTCTTCCAAGATACACTATCTCCCACAACGATCTGGCCATTTCTTATACGCTAGATTGATCTAAAATTCCTTAAGCGTAATATTGACACTGTTATTGCATGGCAGACATATAGCTCACACACAAGAATTAATATTATTCCAAATATTCTTTATTCCTTTTCACCTCTTTTTCTTACAGCCGTGGCTTGGTTGGCTATAATGCAGATGAATAAGAAAACATACCTTTAGTGTTTTGTCAGTTTTTTATGCTTGAAAATACGGAATCAGAAGCAAATATACAAGTAAACTTCTGAAACTTTGAGGTTAACGCAATATGCATACTTTTGTCAAAATCTGAAATGATCCATTTCATTAGATGAGTTGAGCTATTGCATATTTATACCATAAAATTAAAACTCTGCATGTCAGAGGGGGGGCTACCACATATTGAAATTGATCAATATGGAAAAAAAACTTCAACTATACTATGGGAGAAATGCTTATGACTAAACTATTTTGTTCTTTATATAGTGTGTGTACACCACCACTAAACTGAAGTTTTCACGGACATGCTGTACCTACTTTCATGTCCACATTAAGAAAGAAAAAGGAAGTTTGAATGAAAGCAACTCACATACTGGGTGCCAAGTTATAAGTGTGCCAAATATGTACCTTTAATTATTTACCCAAACTTGTAAAATATACCTTGCATGAAACCAAATAGACACACAACCTTCAGTTTATCCATTTTACTACAAATTTTGTAGCTTTTCCGTCTTTTTACAGGAAACATCTGTGACTTATAGAGCATTATTACTGTAGCCTAAAGCATTTTCAAATAATATTTGGCTCATGGGTATAGTAGAGGTTGAGATTGCTAGAATAATGAGTCAATATCAAAAGTTTTAGAGATTGTGAGGTCAATACGATGCTGAGCAACTGTGAATAACTATTTGATTCCTGTCAGGGGACTGGTAGAATACGAGATTAGGGTATGTAGACATCATACCCATGTCATACCATAAATGTTTTTTACACACATTCTTTTCATAGGATATGAAAAAACATACAGCAACACAAATGCACTCAAACCATAACAAATATATATAAAGACTCCATAAGATGTGTCCAGCGTCTATAACATCACACTCACTTTTACAAGATGATGTCTTCTTAAGCACTTCAGATGAAAATGAAGCTATGATTTCATAAAAATAATTAAGCAAACTTGTTAAATTTACAGTTTACAGCACTTTTGCTTATGCAAGAACAACTGTTATGTAGTCACTTAATTACAGTTAGTTTTAGTTGAAATTAGGATAGAAGGTAAGATTAGGATTAGATGTAGGCTTGGAACATTAAAATGCAGTCAGGCATGCCTATACAGTGTATCTGTAGAACTATACATTAATGATGTAAACATTCATCCCCTTAACCTCTACGTGGGATTGCATGTTTATCCCATACTAGAGCACTTTTAGAACATATTTTGTCATCAAAACCATCCATCAATTTTCTAACTGCTTTGTCCAGTTCAGGGTCCTTGGGGAGATAGAGCCTATCCAGGCAAACAACAGGAGTAATTCTGGATACACGCTGGACTGGACACCAGTCCATCACAGAGGGTACAAACAGACACAGACACAGACACAGACACAGACACACACACACACACACACACACACACACACACACACAACAGACACAGATTTTCCAGTATGTCTTTGGACTAAGGGAGGAAACCCACACAAACACCCAGTCCCGAATTGGACCCAAGACCCCAGCACTGCAAGGCAGCAATGTTAATCACTACACCACACTGTCGCCCTTCATCAAAAGCATTTATCTTAATAAAATGGAGAGAAAAGGATGGGGTTTAGGTTAAGTTTACTTTTAACCAACTGTAATATGAGAATTTATTAACTTAAGCATTACATAAAACAAAAAGACATTCTATAATATGGGTAATTGAAAACATTTTTGCAGCCATTTTAAGCAACATTTTTTAAGTGTTATAACAGGTTGATACATAGCTATAGAATTCTAAAACACTAATGTGAACAAATACTAATTGCCCATCATGTATAGTTGCCTTTGCAAAGTGAAATTCAAGTACAATTACTGTATGTAATTAAAGCAACTTATATCCATACATATGTGTGTGTCTGTACAGGTTGTACACAATATATAGTAGGAAACCTGTGGGAATACTGTGAGGATTGTGTGTTTGAAGATGTGAGAAAAGGCGCTGGTTGCATAAAGGTAACATTTTTCACATGCTTTCCTTTTTATCAAAAAAATACTGTCATAGCTATCTTATACACATATAGTCAAAAAGGACAAGACATTATCAAGCAGTTAAATTCAATACCAGACGCAGCTGTTTTCTAGATCAATTTACATCGTAGGCTATGACATTGACCTCGATATCCAATAGGGCTTGCCCTTTCATTTTCAGAAATATTGCCTATGATGTACTGTACTATTCTTAACAGTAATAATATATTAACATCGCTAGGCTACATTCTCATCTCCGTTACCATAAACGTTCGCCTTTTGAGTCGCAAATCCAAATTCCTCGTCTCGAATTGCTATGTAAAACACTATATTTGACGTTGCAAAGCAGGTGTTAAATCATCCCCAACCGATAGTCCGACTAGTATAATAATGAAAACCTACAATGAACCCGGAAAACGAAAACAGAGGAGAATTAGAAATCTTACTGCAATCTTTCTCAGCTTTTTCTTAGAAAAGCTATAAACATTTTATAGCGTGAAAAAATAGACCTCAAAATTCAAAAAAAGTAATTACATTTTAACACCCGATGCAATGTTAGATTCTGTAAACAAAATACCACAGTTTATGTGCACTGTTACACTCTTATCACGTCCAGTATATTTAATAATGATTCATTTACCACTTATAGGGTGCCTTGATTTGTTATAAACACAAGCTCCTTTTCTGTTTATAGATCCGTATCTTACTAAAGCATGGGAAACTTAGATGCAACCAATTTAATGCTTTAAGAATAAGGAGCGTAGTTTGAAAGGAAAAATTAAGGGGTCTAGTAGGAGTCCGGTATTTAAATACTGGGCAAACAGTTTAAGTTATCTGCGGTTGTTCGGCCTCCTTTGCTTGCTTGTTACGGAATTTCCCCCGAGGCACTGCTATTTAAATGATTACTTGTTATTAAAGCGGACAAGTCTTTTATAAGGCCTGATTTTAAACAGGCTTGAGTTTCTGGTCTGCTAATGAAGCTCTTAGATTTTATAACAGTTTTTTTATCGATGTTTTCTTTCCACAACAAAAGAAAACAAATTCTCGCACTTGGTAGTGAAGCTACGGTGTTTGTTTTCTTTTTTCCACATTTTGTCCAAGCAACAGAACAAACATCTGAGTAGAAGAGTAGAAAATGGTTTAAAAAGATTTAATCACTATGGTTGCAAGCGAATGGGCGTCCTTCATTACGCATTTTGTAAAACAGGCACGTGTTTAATCGAAAACCATTTAATGTTTTTTTACAACAAACACATTGTAGCATTTTTTCCTTAAAATTACTGGAGGATCCCCCAGAACATATTCTAAACATATGGAACTATTCAGTATGCATAGGCCTATGCAATATACTGTATAACCTTTCTGTGTATGAACAGTATATAACTGTGCAAACGATTTTATTGAAAAATGTTTTAAATTTTAAAATACATAACGTATATCCTATCTACCCATTTCAAATACAGTACTGAAATTATAATATTTACAACTAATAAAAATTAATTTAGGAATATTTTAACGAGATAAGCTTTATTTTTCGTAAAATACGCTAGACAAGCAGTCTTCGTATAGCCTACTGAGCTTTGGTTACATAAAACAATGCACTTTTAACTCGTTAAAAAATACTTGTTTTAATAAATAAGCAAAATGTACACTGAACTGAACAGAATGCAGGCTAAAGCTTGGGAAACTCAAGCTTCGGTGAATAATCCATGCAACATGATTCGACAATGTATGAGTCTTAATTGCATTTGTCCCTTTCATGAAAGCTGAAGATAATTACAAGTATGTACAATATTTATTTAAAAAACATTTATATATATTTATCTATAAACAGAACAACAACAGGGAATATACTGCACACGCAGAGAAAACAAAGCATTCCTGAATCATCATACCGGTATTAAAGAATAAATTCTTAATATGGTGAAATACGTCTGGCGGAACAAGAGATGACAATAATATAAAGTAAGAAATGTGGCTGTTGTCGAGTATCCTTTTCTTTTGTCGCTCTTTTCGAACGCAGTCATATCGCAGTTTAAGTGCTCCACGAGAATTCAGTCGTCCCGTTGAGTCTTTCCATCAACTTTCTGAGGTTTATACTGTAGGTTCTTCAATAAATCCTTTTGGCCTCCTCAGTTTTTATAGAAGTAAACAGTCTGTAAAATAAATGAAATAATATTTAATTGCATGTCTATATATATTTAAATAAATACAGTACTGTGTGTAGTCTACACATTTTGGGGGAGGTTTACATTAATCAGGAGTTTTAACAGTACATTACACATTTCATTTTGCAGGTAGAGAAATATGTATGAACAATGTTCACTGATACTGTAGTTACATACAGTAGAAACTATTCGATGAAAGCACTTTCCAATTAACGCCAAATTCACTTTTTTTCAGGTGTGACGATTACACCAGTCTCTTGCAGAAAAGCAGCATTGATGCACCTGTCCTACTTTGAAGCGATGCCTATAGCAGACATTTTTTGTAGTATTCCTTAAATCTGCTTCGAAGGAAACTTGATCTTCAGATACTTATAAGGTAGGGAGGGTTAAACTGCTTTTGTTTAGATCAGTGTTTTGTACTAAAGACTGTATTATTATTCATTTTAAAACCAATACGTTCCCCTTAAAATCTTCAACCCCAAAAAGAGACTAAGCAGATATATGCCAGTACTAAATGTATAAAATGTTAATGTAATAATAAGAGGCTTTGTGAATACCTCAAATATCGTATAAAACGGTATTTCTTTCTTGTTTGCGTTGCGCGTTGATGGAAATTGTAGAACTTACAGTAAATGCATAAACTTGAACTTCACTGCGAAAACAATTGATCTTCGTAGTTATTGAATAATTACACACAAAGGATATTTTCTTTGCATTACCAAATCTTTGAAAAAGTAACGATTTGTTTAAGTTTTATTTTTACGTAACATTTTAACAAGACCTATTCCGATTATGCCGAAAGTGTAAGCAAAGCTACGATCATATTGTACAAAGTAACCTTATTTGAGAACTTGTTTTTTTACTTGATGATGCAAATTATTGTATACAGTACTCATTTGGATGTACCAAATTTCCTCATTATTTAAGCCAAGGAAAGGCTGTTTTCATGACAATTTTCCTATTTTTGGGTAATGATGTTAAAATTTACAGTGTGTACTGTATGGCCTGTTGCTGTGGAATAATATCCTTATCTTTGAGGTTTTAACAGTGTTTTTTACTGAAAACTGTACATTGCAACATAAAAACATATATACAATTGAAATTTTAAGGTGATACAAAGAGAAACAAAATATTAAGCTTTCCTTAAATGGAGGTACAGTATTCAACGTTTCAACATAAAAATGCAAAACAGTAAATTCATGCAGACTAATATCACAACATTTTTTAGAAGTCTAAATCATAGTTTTAAAATTATAATTTTGTAAAGAAAATTTACCACTGTGTTTAGAGAAAGAAACCTGACATGCATTTTTTATACAGCCTATACTTACAGCAAAACTTAGTGGTTATCTTACACAGACTGCCAATATATTATACAGCACTTCCGAGGATAGCAATGATAGCTCAGAGCATAGGTTTTGTTGAACTAGATGTCAATGTATTAGTGTTCTCTAGCTTTTATCCTATTATATGTTGTGCATAATGGAAAAGTCTGTACATTGGCTGTGATGACAATCCCAGACACAAAACACATGCTGAAACATTGTTCAAATTAAACTCAACATTTTAAAACCATGTTAAAAGGTTCATATGTGATCTAGATTGCGCTATAACTGTAATTACTAATGGCAGAAATGTTTTTGCACTGGTCTGACAGATTATAAAATAACCTGTTATAAAGGTTTTCAGAACATTGCAAGGTAAGAAACTCAAAATCTGCAATGCCACAACTTTTCTGTTTAAAACAGCTAAGAACACTCTGCAGCCAAAACAAATTGACAATTAACTTCAGAAAAGGTGAATGAGCAGTATGAAAAAAATAATCCAGTTGTTGCAAATCTGCTGCAAATATATTTCAGGTGAAACACACCTTATCTATTGTATAACACAAACTGTCCAAAACAAAGTGTTTTCCACTGTACTGTACAACCCTTTTTCCTAGAAAATAAGTAAATAACTGTTCTACAGAACACCTCTATCCATAAAAAGGTTAATATAAATATTGACTATAAATGTGATTTATGATTTAGTAGGGCCTTATTATTATTAAAATCCATTTGCTATGGATTTTAATAATGCTTACAGTCTACTCTTCTATTACAGAATCAACAGTGTACATTATTAAATAAAACAAAAAGGTGAAAATATTTGATAGCAAAAGAAAAACACTGCAATGATAAACTATTATTTAAAAGATAATATTTCTCAATGGGATTGTGCAGTATGCAGACTACTTGAGTTGTTTTTTTTTAGCCTCAATGTAATCAACTGCTAGTTTGAACTTTCTTCCCAATCTCCAGCACATTCATTCCTGTGGTATTCGTACAGGAAAACATTCATTTATAAATCATAATTATCCATGAGGGACAATTCATTCACTCTGTGTTTCTCTCATGGTCAGTAGTTTCCTTAAATACTTTTAAATTGATACACAGAGAAATTAAACATTACAAATCACTTATACAGCCTTGCATTATATTTGTGAGTTGTCAAAATGGCATTTTAACATTTCAGAGAAGAGACTTTCCACGTTTTCCTTAAAGAGGACTCAACCACAATTCTTTATAGTAAGAAAATAATAGCATTAAAATGGTTCTTGGCAGGAGCCTACTGGCTCTGAGCCTTAAACATATATTTTCTGTATTCACTTCCCACGTAATGTATTGAAAAGTTCCTATTGTGACAACTAGCCAAGCCATTGGATTTCAAGTTTTATTTTAATCTGCCAAGTTGTGCCTCACATTTTTAATATAGACCTGTTATGATGTAAAGTACGCCAATGCCATATTTATTTATCTAACATGGTTTATAGTCGTATCTGTTTATAAAGACAAGGAGTTGATCTGCTTCCCTGGTAACATTTCTGTGTCACTTTAGAAGTGTACTTTAGTACTGTGTTTCAGTAATTTGCATTTTTCAATCAGGGTTCAGCTGTTATGCAATTGTTTGTTTTTGATTTTGACAAGGGTAGCACAGAAACATAAAACAATTTCAGGTCAAAAGGTAAATCCTATTACTATATACAGGCTAGCCATTGATGCACTGCAAGTGTTTTTGTGATTGTTCCATTTATGCCTTAAGGCAGGCCTCAAATTAAAATAGTTTTTGCATGATTGCATATTGTTTAAAGAACAGCATTCTAAAGGAATTATTTTTTTTTTAATTAAATAACAAAATCCTGTAGGGAATAGTAATTATCTGTGGTGTAATCACTAGGTGTAGGAAAATAAACAAAATATAATCTGCAGGTCTAACTGGCCCCCTGTGCAGAAATACACTGCTCTTATTTGAACATAAAGATTTTTTTTATCAACATTGGGACTTCTTTCCTAACAATAAAGGTATCGTTAAAAATACCTTAGTATTCGTAGAATCCTTTCTACTGCCATTCTTCTCAGACCTCACAGCTGTGAACTTTCAGGCAAACCAAGTGAAAATAGTATTTAAAAACAAGATATCCTTGTGGCTGCACATTTTGATTTTTTTACGCGATTTTATACACATCTAAGGTGCAGAAACGTCGTAGCTTCGTCCCACTACCAAGTTCTTGATAAACACCTGTCTAATTACGAACTTTTCCCCCCCCGTTTTCAAGTACGTTATGGTAAACCAAACTGAAGGAGAATGAACTTTTCAGGCAACAATAATTTGTTCTGACACCATTGTCAATACTTTTTCTTAAAAGTTGCATTTGGATGGAGTATTAACTGTAACTACAGAACAGAAACCCTGACAAGACATTCCGTAACTCTTAGGATGACACCTACCCCTGTGGCACTACTGTACGTCTTCAGTGCTAGTGGGACGCAGACATAGACCATGCTCCTTCCATCCGCCACACTGAAAAAGCATAGCTCAGACGCTCGTGCGCAACATAGCTGCAGCTGGACATCTTATTGTCCATCTCGTCGCTTTGTAGGACCTGATAGAGAAAATCGATGTATCTGGCTGCAAGCTTCAGTGTCTGTATTTTACTCAGTTTATCCGACGGCAGCGTGGGGATAATTTTCCTCAAGGAAGCAAAGGCTTCATTGAGCGACTGAGTCCTTTGCCTCTCCCTGACGTTTGCTAATACCCTTTGGTTCTGGAGTTCTTCGTAGGACTGCGTAGTGGGACTCGGTTTCTTACCCCTCTTGACAGGACCCGGGCTGCCGTCCTCGCTAGATTTTTTACTGTATCTCCTTTTCCTTCCAAATCTTTTCTGTTGTCTGTCCAACTCCTCCTCGCTGGTCACTAAGCTATCCACAGGGGAAACGGGAGAACTTGAGCTCTCTTCCATTTCTTTTTTAAAGAAATGCAAGGATAACGAAGAAGAAAAAACGGTCTCCACTTTTAAATCCGTGGTTACAGGAGAATATCCCTTTTAGTTGAAGGAGACTTGAGTTATTTAACTTTTGTTTTTAATGGACTGGATGTCCGGGTTATACCACTTTTAATCGAAACTGTATTTTGGCACAGCTTTCTTCTCGCAGGAAGTTTTTTTCCTTAATTTTTTTGGAAACTTCATCCCAGTTTCAGATGCTAAATAGTTGTCTGAATAGAGGGGGTGGTAGCATTGAACTCTGATTGGCCGAATAATAAACAGGAGGGAACAGTTTTAAATTACACTTCATCCAGAAACCCTTGATTAGAACATAGTTGCATCACTATTAATATAAAATCTTCCCATTGTCAGCACAATAAGGAAAAAGGTGAAAGTATTTTTCAGTGAATGGTTTTGGACACCATATTTTTTCTATTCCTGCCTCATTCATTCTCCCAATATTAAATTATTTACACGCTTCATTTGTAGTTTATGTTAAGTCAATCATTTTATCGTATATTGTCCTTGTATTACGGTCGGTACTCGTCATTTTCAGGTTTTATCAAAAATAAGTTAAGAAGAGCCTCTCAGATCGCACACAAAATAACCTATTGTTCTTCGTATATATTTGTATGCGCACTTAACACACATTTCAATAACTTATTTGCTTTCAGGTTTTTGTGAAGAATAAGTGGGCTACAGTTTAAAGAGAAATATAAGAAAACCAAAACGTTAATACAATCAATGTTATACATTTTCTTTTGGCTTTTATTTTTTTACTAAGTCTGATATTCATTTTAATGGCGCAATAAACTTAGGAAGTATAAAGAGCGCACGTACATCTACTGTATGTATATATTTAATTATAACTGGGAAAATTCCTCGCTTTAGATTTTTATTTTTTTATAATCTTACGGTTACTTTAGTTAAGTCATTGAAGTTAATTTATAAAAAAAGGTGCTGTAGATTTCGCAACTTCAGTAGATCTATTAACATATTTTTCAGTTTATTTCGAACAACTGTAGATTAAACGATTATAGATCTCTAACGAATACTGTACATGCAGAACAAACGTCTCTGGTAAAATAAAGGCGACGTCACATTGTATTAATTTTTTTGTGTGATATAATAGAGAAGTATATTAACGGAGGTGGATATGTGTATATATTTAAACGAAAAACATCACAATGATATATAAATTGGTAGCTATAAGAAAACTCATGTTATCCAACATACCGTCTGAAAATTAACTTACCTGTTTAAGTATACTGTACGTTTTAAACCACAATAAAATTATCTTTATGGAAATGTTCACGGAAGGAGGTGGGCATGTATACCTGTAATTTCTGAGAAAATGATTTTTCCGCAAGGATAAAATGATTCATCTAATTATTATTACAGTGCGGAACAACTTACCAAGAATCAGAGACGCAGATGCATTTCTGTTGTTTTATTTTCAGACCTGTCACCGTATGGGTTACAGTATATTATTTTAAAAATCGGACAGGTTTTTAAGATGAAAGGTCATCTACTTTAAATTTTAAGAGCACCGATATTTCTTAACGTTTTCCGAGGAAAGTGATTATATACCATTTTTATAGAGTTCTATCTCGTGATCTTTGAGGTCATTTTACAGTATGCGGACATACAGAATTCGAAGTACAGGTGGCTTGCATTAATCCTTTGAAATGTATATGTTTTTTTTTTATTTAAGCACTCATTCAGATCTTCAATATAATCCAAAAACATTCAGGAACTGACATATAATTAGATGGGATACACATATTTTGTTCTAAAAATATTTACCAAAACTAAAGTTTTGAAACAGGGTTCATGTTCAGCAGATACATGGCATAAAACACATTTAAAATTAATAGTTATTAATTCTACTAGCTACATTTAATTGAACAGCTCATTATTTTGAATTGAAGAGAGAGATTTTTCTTTATTCAATCGTTTGGAGGAATCCAAAGTGTAAAACCATCTGGTCTGTGGTATCATAAGGTTGAGTTAGAAACTGGAACATGATACCTTGAAAGGCTTCGTCATCACACACAGTCCCTTAGTAAGCCTTATCAGAGTATTTTCAGCAATTTTGAATATACCGATATTTATTTAAAGTTATCATAACTCCCTCCACACACATCATTTCCTGTGGGTTTAGGTTAAGTACAGTAGGTTGTTCCTACAGTAGGTTTCTTACTTCAATGTTCAGTTGGTAAGTTTGCTCAGGGCTATTTGCTGACCCATGAGTGGGAGTGTTACTTTGGAGAGTGCTTGCAAAATTTCTGAAGTACCCACAAGTCTGATCCTTTTCCTTTCGGGGGCAAACAGTCAAATAAAAGGATTTGTTTTAGCTTCAGTTGCCTACACCCATTAACAAGTTCATATTTTCAGTGCACATATTCTCGCAGTGGTGTGGGGTTACTTGACACTTCCTTCACTTGATCGCATGCTTCTAGCCACACACACACACACCTTGCTTCTAAAATGTATTGATTCCACAGAGCTTTTCATCAGGATGGATTACAAGAAAGGCACAACGAGCAGTTGTTGTGTGGAAAACACCAGTTTTTAAATTCATACCATCAGTCCTGAAATTAAAGAATAACATTTACAGTATACCAGCTTGAGGAGAGATATCTGAAATTGAACTTCACGTCACATGTTTGCTAAAAAAAACACATTCTTAGTCAATGGCACAGGCTTTAAAGCTTTCCATTCCATTAGCTTAAAATACTAAAAGAATAACCCACGATACACCTGCCATGAACAGAAGATGATGAGATACATTATGCCCGCCATATGGATGCAGAGACCTAGTGAAATACACCATATCCAGTTTACCCTGATAGACAATATTTTTTCCTCCTGCTTTCTTTCACCTCACTGCTCAATACTGTTTTAAAATCTTAAAAAAGAGTTTTCCTTTATATTACTTTGCTTTATTTCCATTTCAGCTATTTAAAGGCTAATGAATTTCTCTTGTCTTAATCCAATTAAGAAATGTGCCAGAGGGGGAGTTTCAAAAGAGGAAATGGGGTTGTCAACTGAGGTAAAGAATTTTTTCATTTTGATCATCCCTCTCACTTCATTTGTCTTCCAAAGACTATATACCCCCTGCGTTTCTGTCTGTTGGATTATGTTAACCACAGGTATAATGTGATACACATTTATTTGAGACCTTAAGCAAAATTATTGTCTTAACTATCAAGAGATGCAAGAATGATTCAGGTCAGTTCAAAGATATATCACACTATATTTCACACCACAGAGAAGACATTTTTATGTCTCCCTGACACCTCCAAATCTTTTCCACATGCACTGGAGCTCTTTAATAAACTGAAATCCTTTCTGCAGAATCATCAGATCAATTAGGACAAATCTATTTTAAGCAATGAAAGAAAAAAAAACATTGCACAGAGACTTGGAATGTCATGGATATTTTATTTTTCCCTTTTTAAAATAAAGAAGTAGAAAGGAATGTGATTTCTGACTATTTGATTCGGAAAACCCAGTCAGAAATCTGACTGTAGATTTTTTTGTCATTTGTAACCTTTTGTGGGACAAGAGAATTTAAAATTGACCCCTAAATGTATTTGACTATATCATTTTAATCTTTGTTTTTCTTTATAGCTCTTGTTCTCAAGTTCAATAAGCTATTAATTGTATATTCTGAATGTGAATAGTCATCACCTTGATCCTCATTAGGAATGGGTAGGGATAGTAATTACTTTTATGATTACAATATACTGTACCTGGTTTGGTGCACTTTATCCATCCCATGGAAATGAAACTGTGTAAGGAACAAGAATTACATGAAATGAATAGAATGCATTTTATATTATTAGGAGAAGACAGTGAAGTTATCCATGCAAGCAGAGGATACCACTAGCAGAGGAATTATGTAAGTAACTATCACCATCTGTAAGACTCACTCCTTCGATACTGATTCAAACTTCATAACTCAGTTCAAACATTCTTATACATGAACACACTATTCCTTGTAAAAGAATATTATTGCTAAATCTGCTACGATAATCATGACAATATCATTTGCTTAATTCTATGTCTTGCCCTTAAGAGTGTAAGTGTGTAGTCCTTTGTTCAGTCTTAATGCTTTTCTTTTGTTTTGTTTTTCACATTGTGCTGTGTATAAACAAACTTGTTTGTCCTGCTGCATCAGGAAACAGTGTGAATCTGACATTTTGAGGTGAACTTACCAAGTAAACATGTTTATGTAAACACCCTTTTATTTTCTCTGAATTTTTCAGTTTATGTATTAAATTCCATCAGCTATGAGTAACAATTCTTTGTTGAACTCTATTTTAAAAATATTGTTACAAGTTCAACATGGAAACAAAACATATTACTGTTTTCTGTTTGCTGTCAGTTTTAATGACTAAACCTCCAACTTCCAGCTAAACCACAATATATCCTTTTTTATATATTAAATATGGATTTTCACTCATACAAGCATGCCTGTAACCAACGTACTGTAAGCATTTGTGTTTTAAACAACGAATCACATTTTCATTGTACAGATGCTTATGGGGTAAAAGGAAATCATAAAGTTCAGAGAAAGTAGAGGGTAGAAGTAGAGTAGAGCTGCAGAGAACTATACAACAATGTTTGATGATTTGCTCCTGTCTGTAGACAGGGGTGTCTAATATATTTAGAATTTATTTATTGAACAATTTATTATAGAACATTAGAAATTAGTACCATCTACAGCCCTTTATGTACAGTATATCAACCAAGAAAGACTTCAGGAATGCCTTTTACATGAAAAATAGTTTATTAATTGGATTTATTACAATTTAAAAAGGTCTAACTATGAAATGTGTTTTTCATGTCAAAAACTGATCAGAGCAAAATGTTGGTGACCTGTGGGGTAAGAAGGTTCTGTTAATAAAAACAGCAAAACACTTGCAGATATTTGAAAATGTCATTGAGTTACAGTATTTTGTGCCGAAGGAAAACTCTTAAGTAAGGATTGCATCAAGGCACCATATCCTAAAACCTTTTAAATGCATTGCCCAATCAAATTTTGGTGTCCTAACATTTTATTTTAACCTCAATGACAAGGTGTTTCTGAAATCGTGTTACAGACATTCATAAATGTTTCATTAAGGAACTTGTAACAGCTTGAAACATTTAGTTTTGTTTAATACAATGCAGATTGCA